GTTCAGCGCCCGGGCAGCTGCCCTGGAGTATGAAGTCGGCAAGTCTGATGACTTCATCTTGTGAGTTGATTTTATCGGATAAGACAACTCAGTGTAAGTGAATCATTGTGTGCGGGAAGCTTGATATCTAAGTAGTCAGGCAAGGTTGCATGTGCCTGAGAGACAGAGATTCGAGACCCACGAGCGAGAACTAGGTTCAGCGGTCCCGACTCTGGGATTCCTGTCGTTTAAGGAACAGTCGACAATATGTTCCACGAAGGTCGAGTCCAAAAAGGCTTATGAGGGGTCCAGAGCCGGGTGTGACGCCTTTGGTGACAATGATCGAATTTGGATAATACGCTCGACCCAATGAGGCTGGTTGCTCTACGATACACGGCCCACCGGCACAGCCTGGGTGGTAAAGATATCGCTCGGTGTATGCAACCGTCGTGAAGTCCATACGCCTCATGATGATTGGCCTCTTGGCGTTCAGGAACAACAAAAAGGAAGTATCGGGCGCCTGGCATCGGTATGGCCGTCGATCCGATTCGTAGGCCGGATATGGCAATGTGGGTAACAAGAGTTGTGAAGGTTGACCCTAAGGTCGGACAGACTTACAACAGACCAGACAATGCCTGTAAATGAGGGGATAGCAGGACTTGGGCTAGTCAGGTAAACTTCCTGTCAAATAAGTTGGTACTCAGACACTGCACCTACCCACAACTTGTCCCTTCAATGAGAGAGCCAATGCAATTGGCTCTCCCTGGAGTGATAGTTGCATGCTGCTGCATCTATTTGAGCCTCAAATAGTAAATGAGTCAAAAAGACTTGGCAACATCTCTTCCAGGTCCACACAGGTATGTAAGTCCAGGCAGGCCGTATCATATCATGCTTTGTTAGTGTAGCCTCAACATCATGCGATGAGTGGCAAGGAAACAAATCCTTGAGACATTCAGTGAATAGACACCTGTGGCTAGTTACCCAAGCTCGTAAAATCCGAGACATTTCACCCAGTTTATCATACAGGCTATACGATATTGGTGATGGCGAGGCGGGGCTTTTTTAATTGATAGGACGGATACGGTATCCGGACTTGAGGACACGCGTTACGAGAAAGAGTGTCTGTTGGCTGGCGCGAATACGTCGTCGTATCTTGTAACATGGTGCTTCCAGGGTCCAAAACTTCAGATATGATGCAATAGATGGCAGCGATCATTCAGGGTCTTTTGGAAGTCGACATCGTCAGCCACTTCGGTAACTCGTAGTGAAGATAGTTTTTGTTACATTTTAGCGATGATCGCATTCCCGATCAGTCCATGCGATGTCATTGTTCCTTTTAGGTACTTCCATTTTCGTAACCTTCAACGATTGCCAATTCTATAATTCAGCCGTTCCAGGTCAAGACGAATGGGTTCCGTGATAGAAGTTAGTCCTTCGTGTGTTGTTCGTTGTTCGATAACAGAGAGCTTGGTGTTCAATCTAGACTGTGCTACAGCCAGTCTAATAGACATAAGCTTCTCGTAGCCCCATAATTGATCAAGAAGTGCCGAAAGATACTTTGTGGTCCATGGTCCGGGCCTTGGTCTCAATCGTTGATTCAGAGTCTCAGGCCTGTCGAAGTTCTAGGCTGGTGAAGCTGGAAAGCCGCTAAATGAGGGCTGGTTGTAGGTAGTTGCCGCTGGAACGTGAATATGAAGCCATCATTCCAGTCGCTTGCTGGTTAAGGCCTGCTGCTTTATCGCACGTGGCTTTCGGTATGGTTCCCATCAAATATCGCTTGTGGTTAAGAATGAGGTTGGAAGGTTTCAGTTGATTGGATTTACGTTCCAGTCGTGACGACTGTACTGTGCCAGGGCGTAGCGATCATGATATGCACTGTACATTTGCAACATGTCTTGCGCCAAAAACATATATACTGTACTGTATACACACAGTATATCCCTTGGCACAACAGCATTGTGTGTTCGAGGCTAATATCATCTCCGGAATATCCACCGCTAGCAAACAGAACTTTCTTTTCGAATTAGGATGTGTATCCGTACGTACTGTATCTATTTTGCATCCATCTTGGTATATTGTTAGTGCGACATTAATAATTTCAACCTGACCATCATTCTGCACCTATAGGGTATGTCCTGAAGATATACAGAGTACTTTCCTTCGATTTTTATTTATGTGATGATTGATGGTATCTGGCGATATGCTTCCTAATACATAAATATTTTATATCCCAGAGATCGATTCCATTGTTATACCTAAGTTGAAGAAGTGCCTAGCAGCTTTTCAAAGGTGCTCGTTCACAAGAAACGCTGCACCTTGTTTGTTCGAAATGGCAGGATAAAATCTTCATGGCACTGAGCACTTCAAAGGAGCATAAACATAAAAAGACTCTAATTTAATTACTACAATGAATACTGATTACATGTCCGCATTATAACCATCCCACCATATGCTGAACTAAATCCCGAAATAGATACTCCACCAATTTTGAACTCAAGGAAAGGTATACGCTCTAGTCAATCGATTCATCACCATCGAACAGATAGGGGTGACCGGACCTTGTTTGCTGCTCGGCGCTCGGCAGTAGGGGCCTTTGACGGTGACGCATCTGCTGTCACAACCACGGTGTTATAAACAGTAGCGATGCTCGTGGAGACTGCAGCTGATTCGCATCCAGTTGGTTCAGCACCATGGACCTCGGTGTAGACATCACCGTTGCCGTAAGTTCGGATTTTGGTGTATACAGGGGCGTTGCTGTTGTAGTTGCCACTTCCGTCCTGGCCCTTTGTGCTGGTAGGATCTTCATACTGGCCCTTGCTGCCATCACCACCATTGTCGTAGCCAGGGTTGCAAGGCTCTCCGTCCTCCTTTGTACAGGTTGAGTCGCCAGTCTCCGGGTCGTAAACAATGACCTCAACCTCAGGCTTACCAGTGTAAGTGGCAGTCCTTGTGTAGGTCTCGCAGTCGTCGTCTGTTACAGTAGCGGTTCCATACTTGGCCGGAGCAGTCAATGTGTAGGTCTGATCAACCTCGACAACAGTAGTAATGCAGTCGCCGTTCTCTTTGGTGATAGTGCTGACGGTCGGCTCCGGCTTGACGATGACGGTATAGTACTTGCCACCTTGCTGGATGGTCTTGGTAACGACGTAGTTGTTGGTGTTCTCAGCTGTGATGGTCTCGACAACCTTGTTGCCGTTCTCCATAGTCACAGTCTTGGTAACTTCATACTGATCCTTGCCTGTAACGGTCACTACCTCTTCGCGGCCGTTGTCTTGGGTGATTGTCTTGATGACGGTGTTGGAGTTGCCATCCGTGTATGTCAGAGTCTGGATACGACCATCCTTGACCACAGTGACCGTGTGAATGTAGTCGGGATCCTTCTCATAGTCGCCATCGCCACCAACGATCTTAGTGAAAACTCCACCATTGTAGTCAGGAGAGCCAGCACTAGGCGCAGGGTAGCCGTTGCTGATGGTAACTGTTTTGGGGCCGGGATAGCTATCAATCTTCTTGGTGATGATGTGCTCGCTGCTCTCTGTTTCTGTCGCGGTCACAGTGACAGTCTTTCCAGGACGGGTGACGGTGATAGTTTCAATGGCTGGCTCAACCGTCTCGCCTTGGCTGATGTACACAACCTTGGTTTGAGGGTTTTGGTAGTTCTGGGTAATAGTAACAGTCTTTCCGGGACCATCTTGTTCTGTGACAGTAACAGTGCGATAAGAGCCGTTGGGATCCGAGACAGTGACAGTCTCGTATGGTCCAGAGGGCTTAGTGACGGTCACTGTGTGAGAACAATCCTTGGGCTCGCTCTCTAGTGAGCAAGGAGGACATTGAGCAATGGTGTCTCGTGGATACAGCCAGTCGAAGCGTGCCTGAGCCAGGGGCACCAAGGCCAGTGCTGCCAGAGGGGTAAACCGGACCATTTTGAGACAGAAATGAAGATGAAGATCTATCAAGGTCAATGGACTTATGTGCGAGTCAAGTTTGACTGAGAGAGGAGGAAGAAGGTGTCGGCTGTTAGAAGGGAAGTATTGATGATGATCAGAATGTGTTCAGTTGATGCGAGAGACACATCCTTATAGCTATCATTCTCTGCGTACATCTTAGCCTGAACCCAGGGCGATGAGGGTATCGCTTCAAGGGACAACATTGACAAGAACTATTGCTAAGGACATAGGCAATAGCTGCGATCCAAGGACGTCTTCGAGTGAAGTCAATCCATGAGAGAGAGACATTGGCAATATAACAGACATTTGTGTAGTCAATCCCTTGGATGAAGCGGGCCAGGGTTTGTTCAAAGAAGGCTATACTGAAAGGCCAAGATGTGAAGGGGTACACACACTGAAGTGGTGCTTGCTGCTGTCAGCACGCGAACTAGACAGCGGGGTTGGCCAGGGCAAAGTCAACAATGAATTGGAAGACGCTAGTCTTGATGCCCTTAACTAAAAGTAAGCATTGAGAAAAAAACGAGACACCTGAATATTGATGCTCCCTTACCCAGGGTATCCAATGTCAAGGGAGTATTAAGGGAGCGTCAGAGACGAGTACGAATAGGCATTGAACAAGGCTGCAATGCAAGTATGGTCCTTCACAATATACCTCACTGCCATTGTCGCTTCGTGTATCACCTTGGCCGCATCCTCAGCATTAGAGGATGTCCTTCTTTGTCTTTGTCCATTGTTGAATTGAAGTGGATTGTTCGTTGTTGTTGGTCCCAGCAACATGGATATGGTGGCGAGCGGGCCGTTGTTTACCCGATGCAGCCTCGGGTTCCTGAAGAAGGACCCACTGAGCGAGTAACGTACGTCGTGAAGCAGGCGCGCCTCACGAAGAGAGCAATCACGAAGTCACGAGGCTGTACAACCAAGCTGCTACAACCTTCCACGCTCCTTAACACTTCTATTCTTCGCTTCCGGGCCATGTTCTCGAGATAATAACCGACTCTTTGCGACAGTAAACCACATCTAGTCCGCCTTACGATCTGATATGTGTACCTGAGATTTTCGATTACCTACGCAATAATGGGAGCTTGCGCATCATGCTTGGGAAGGGGTGATGGTAATAACTACGATGAGGTGTGTTATCAAGCGATCTTTCGATCGCAGGTCCCGCACCAATATCAGCAAGACTCTTTACTAATGCTTTGCTTGTCAGGAGGAAGAGAACCGCCTTCTCTACGATGACGCAAACGGTATGCAGTACGGTAGCTTCGGGGACCAAGCTATAAACGGCGAGAACGATACCCTCGAAGCTCAGCGAGAGAACGAAGCTCTTCAACGAGTAATAGCGAAAACATCAGAGTACGTTCGTGAGATCAAGGGGCCTTGAAGGATGCTAATCTAGACCGATAGCAACATGGTGGACATCTTTGATATCGCTCCGCAAGAGAACACAAATCGTGGAGCAACGACACCTTTCGCCTACGCTGGTCAAGGTGCACGCCTTGCACGATACCAACATCTCGTATCAAAACTTAGCAACCAGGGTGACAATAACCCAGCGAGCGGTGTCAAGGTCGACTGGCTTCCAGAAGACGAGACCATAGAGATGCAAAAGAATGGTCCAGCTAGCATCAAGACTCTCGAGAGCGATGAGGGTCCTCTTGTGGGGACCTTTGCAGATGCTGCGGCGGCAATGCAGTAATGACGGCCTTCTTTGAACAGAGGAAGCTCCCTTCGTTAACAATGCGGAAGAGAAAGCTGAGAGCCCCCAGAGCGGGGAGTCAGCAATTGCGACATGAAACTGTAATGCAATATTCGCGATACACGACTGATGACGATACACACAGTACGTTTTGGTGTTCAAGACCGCTGCGATTGCCCCGATCTGAACCATTAACCCCTGGTGGCTCAAATTGGATGAGGTTCATCCCGGTCTGACCTTCGCTGGGCATGTCGGTGAAGTGGCTAGGACCAGAATGAGCGAAAAAAAAGTATCGCTTATTCACCAGCCCATTTTCTTTGAATACTAACCTCGACTAATACGATCTTTGTGACCAAATTTCTGGTTGCTGCTCATTTTGTTGAAGCAGTGGAACCCTTCGGTAGACGGAGTTGTCGCTGCATAGAAACTGATTAGCTCTTAACACTCGGTGCATACCTGCACTTCTATTTTATCTCTCCATCTCTCTCTCTTTTTTTTTTTTTTTTTTTTTTTTTTTTTTTTTTTTTTTTTTTTGGCGCCAGTCTTTTGTGCAGACTTCTTTG